CATGAAGAGTGCAAAGAACTTAGAAGTCATTAATGCTGAGGATCTTTGGAAGAGTCTTTCTCTTATGTCAAAAACAGGTGAAACTTTTGAGGCTAGGCAAGTGGTTGTACAGTCATTTCTTGTGTTTGGCCAAAGCAACGTTTATATGTTTAATCTTTGGTGGGTATACATGTCACTTGTTCCACAAATAATGCTCTCTTATTGGGCCTTTGGCTTTCCTTAAGTGAAAAATCATACAAAGAATCCAAATTCCTATGTATGTGCAATGGATCTCTCTTGTTTTGCGTATCAGCATCTTGATACCTGGTCTTTTGGTTAATCTTTATCATTTTCCTATCCAGTAAACACCCTTGCTCATGGTTCCTTTCTTACTAAACAGAACTAATTGGTTTGTGAAATTCCACGGTAAAGCCTTGTAAATCACTGGTGGTAAGAATTATTCACTACCACTGGAGATATTCTGGTAAGAGAGAAACTTTATATGGTGTTTGGTTAGTGAGGATTTTGAGTGAAGCTGACCTAAGAGGTTCAAGTTATTTCAGAAGCTGGAACAGGACAATCAGATGGGGATGGTTTCCAGGCAAACAAATCCTATGCGTTAAGCAAATGTGTTCCTTTATGCATCAAGGGCAATGAATCAAAGTTTGGGGTATTGCTAAATAGTGGGGATAGAAATAGTTTAAACCTCAGGTCTTAAATCTAGGAAGGTAAGCAAGGGATTTGGAAAAAAAATCCATTAATGTGATTTCTGTAAAGAAGACCTCAGCTACTCCCACCTAGAGCTTATAGCTGCCTTGTTGACTCACGCTTTTAAATTTTTCATCTTGATATTCCCAGATTACTGTGGGATCTTAGCCTGGTTACAAAACCAAAAACTCTGCAGATCTGCAGTCAAATCACATAGAAAACTAAATGCCTCTTAATGGTGACTGGGGCTGTCATGGAAGATAGCATCCCTCCCAGGGAGTGGGCACTTAAGCCAGCCTCTCCCTTACTTATTTCTCCATGTCTCCTCTTTCCTGTGGTCTAAACTGTGCAGCCCTGATCCTTCATAGAATAAGAAAGTCTAGCATTGATTTTGTATAAACTAACATAATTTCAGGGTGCACTTTGAGTAGAGTTAGGGAGGCTGAAAAAAGACTCCATCTACTGGTAAATTACCCCCACCCCTTAATTTAGATGTTTAACTCGTGAAGTCTCTATAGTGATAGAGACTCAGTAGCATCTGAATGTCAGTTTATTCCCTTCGTATCTTATTTCCATGGATTAAGAGGGGCTGTATTGAGCCAAAGAAAACCACTTAAACATCAGGGCTCACTCCAAAATTGGAAGCAGTTCTACTTTGTGCTGAATACCTTCAGAGAGTTGTAGTTCCATGCTATGTACTGAGAAGATGCTAGGAATCAGCCTACTGGAATTCTGTGCAGGCCAGGAGCTGGTAGGACACATAGAAACTCTATAAACAAGAATGTGCTAAGCCTTAGCCCATCTGTGACTGCTTTTGTCACCACATACTACTGAGCTTTCTTTCTTTTTTTCTGAGTTAATTCCTACATGGATGAGAGCGAAAAGCCAGTCTTTATACTCTAGAAATTCCGCCAAAATGTTCTGGTCACTAAATTCTAAAAGTTTATAGCTTTGATTGCCCCAATTTACCCTCTGAGAATCTCCTTAAGTAGTTACCTCAAATCTGAAGTCATAATATATCTCCTATACCAGTCTGGCACTTATTGACTATCTCTGGTAGAGTCATGCCAAGTAATAATTATCCTCTTGACTAATGGAAAAATTGACACTTTAAATTATTTTATTCCACATAGTGTGTGTAAATAGGGCATCAAAACAGTAATATACTAGGTTATGGAAAATATTTTTATTGTGATATTTCCTTCTTTTGTCTTTTTAAATTTTTTTTTAATTTTTTTTTTTTCTTTTTAGTTTTTCTCCGGTACCGGGAACCGAACTCACGACCTTGCGCTTGCCAGGCAGGCGCTTTGCCACTGAGCTAAATCCCCAGCCCCCTTCTTTTGTCTTTTTGAGACAGGGTCTCACTATGCAGTTCAGGCTGGCTTTGAGCTCACATTTTAGCCCAGGCTGGTCTTGAACTTGCAATGATCCTCCTGCCTCAGCCTCCTGGGTGCTGGGATTTCAAACATGCTCCACCACACCCGGCCCTATTGTGATGTTTCCCAAATCATATTGATATCCTAGTAGTTATTTGCTTCTCAAATGATTATAATGCTCAAAAGTTTTCCTAGATTTTTAACTAGGTCCCGTCCTCCGATTTTTTAGTCATGTTAGAAAGTCAACATGAGTTTTGTATGTAAAACATTAAGCATCCAACCATATGGTGTTACTGACTTTGTGATATGAATTTGTAAGTTCCAGGCACTCTGCAAAATGATTCAGATTCAGAAACTATTTAAACCATCTAGTAAAAGTAATATTTGCAAAATGAGGAAAAGAGAGGAAAGCAAAAAGAAAAAAACAAACAGGGAGAGCGGGGAGAAAGGAAAGATTTCTTATTGGTCGCATGAATGGAAGTACAAATACAACATATATCCATAGGGAAGGACCTGACTCTCGAGGAATTGGAATGTCCTAAATCAGGGTGAAGTATTGTGGTCTGTATGCTCCACAAAGAGGAGACTCTAGCCTCTGAGCAGAATGCAGTAAAGAGCTGCGAAGAGGGTTAGCATCCAGAGTTGGAAGGATGCACATGGGGGCAATCTCAGGGGAAGGGTGCTGCAATGATGTAAAGAAACAAACCTGGGTACAGTAACACCTCCAAGGCATTATCAGCTTTCAGGTCCCATAGCCTAGAAGCAAAGTCTTCTAAGTAAATGAAACCCAAAAACAGGCTTCAACATTGAACCAAACCATTGAACTAGATTCGGTTCTCCTCAAATCCAGTTTGAGACCAGAATCACGGAAAAATTAAGTTTATAAACTGAGGTACCACTGTATTTTCTGATTTACATCCTTTATACACCTGCTTTCATTGCTTTGGATACAAGTGCCTTTTTATCACTTGAGATACTGCCAGTCTTCTAAACTTGAGAAAAGTACAAGTTCTATTTGAATTTGGTAAGCCTTATCTTGGAGGGGCTGTATGATGTATATATACACTCTGGGGCAAGATGATTAGAAAACTTTGCCAATATTTAAATAATAGTAGGTATGAAAATCATTACTTTGATCCCAGAGAAAACTACCAAGTACTAGGATCTTTCTTCTAAAGTTCAGGAGATGTCAGATTATATAGATTGTTCTCATTGAAATGACACTGGATGAGTAAAAAAAAAAACTCCCTAAGAAAAACTGTAAATTTTCCCAACAGGAGCACATTTTTGAGCGTAAGATTGAATTCTCCAGCTGTTTGCAACTCATCCTCCCAGGACTGGGATCAAGGCACAACCCTTCCTATCCATCCAGATCTGACTCCAAACAATCTCTGTTTACATTAGTTGTATCCTGTGCAAAATGTAGCCATTATTTAAAGCTTCTCAAATTATACTCATGATAATCTAATTAAAATGCTCTTTTACTGGGGCATATAGTTCTTCCAATTAAAGGCAAAATTCCAACGGAAAGGATAAGCTAGGGGCTATGTCTCACCCCCAGGACTGGCAAACATACAAAAATGCTAAGGTAGTGGCTTCTGCAAATCTCACCTCAGGGGATTTTTATCCTCATTTCTAAGAAGTTCCTTGGAGAAAATGGGCATAGAAAACATGGTTTGCAGATTTTATTCAGCAGCACTGGAAACAGAGACCAAGGCATATTCTTTTTCTCTGCAGGGGAGATTTGTTTCTCCTTTACCCACAGTCCTCAAGAAACCTGTCTGAGCAGTTTTCCATAATGCACTGAAGTACTGTGCTATGTGTCACCCCCTTCAAATCCATATGCTGAATCCCTAATCCCCAGTATGACAGTAGCCAAAGGTGGGCCTTTTCAGAAGTCTTTAGATTTAGCTGATTTTATGAGAGTGAGTGTCAATTTTATAATCTGTATCCCTGCAACAAGTGTACAAAAGAGTAGATTTCTCTCTAGAGTTACTCCACTGCTTTGAAACCTATCAAATTTGTACTAGACCTGGTGATCATCTTTTGTTTGGTATTCAGTAGGCAAGCTAGAACATGCTGTCAATTGAGTTGCTACCCATTCCAGCCAAAACGTGTTCAGTACTCATCCATTTTGGTACTACTCATGCCTCCCAGATACCAATTAACAAGGAGTACCAAGGTACCACTGTATTTCTCTCTTCTTGGCTCAATCTCTACCTCATGTGAGGACTTAGGAAGAAGGCAACTCTGCAAGCCATGAAGGATACCCTCACCATAAAACTAATATGTGGGTACATTGATCTTGGCTGGTCCGTTTCCAAAAGTGTGAGAAATGAATCTCTGTTGTTTAAGTTCCCCAGAGTATGGTGTCTTGTCATGGTAGACAGAGCGGACTTACAGGACTGCATGGGAGCCATAGCATTAATTCAACAATCCCACCACATGAATTAGGCCAGTGCCTAAATTAAATGAAAATGATATCCCATCAGGAATTTGCAGTTTCCAAAAGTTCCACAGAGCTTTTTCAGGAAATTTCTATTTGACAGTTGGCATGGAAACCAGTATATTCACTAATCCTTTTCACAATGCCCAAAAGTCAAATGGCAATTCAAGGTCTTGCTTGCCTGATTGAAGGTCACAGGCTCAAAAGTTCTATAACAGAGACTGTTTTTCATATTTGAGTTTCCCCGTGCCAACTACAGAGCCTGCCAGAGCATGTGCTCAATTACCGTTTACTAAGTAAGACTCAAGAACCAGGAAGTCTATATAAGAATTTAATTTTTATTAACTTTAATAAGGCAAGAAAAGCTTTAAAAACATTTAACTTTACAAAACCAAAGATTAAAAGCATAAGTATATAACAAGAGCTGAACATGTTTCAACTGTTTTTCCTATACTGAATAACTCCACTTACTATGGGGTTGTTAAACATTTTCAAGAAAATTCCCTATAGTGATATCCTCTCTCCTTAAGTAGATGATCAAAAGCTTCACACATCAACAGGCAGGACAAAGCAGCAGAATGTGTGGACACTGCAACAGGTTTGGCAACACTGCCAGGTTTGCCTGCACCTGCAATTAGGGCTTTTTGTCCCTCATCTCTTACAGCGATTTCATAAAGCCATGAGAAGTAAGCAGGGAAAGCCTTATTAATCTTGGACAAAAACTTCAGGACTTTCTTCTGGGTGGTGTTAGCACAGGCTTTCGGACCCCACAGAAATTCATGGTGTGCAGGATGACTGCCAGGCACCTGCCAGTACTGCAGGTAGTTTAACCTCACCAAATCTTGGGTGAAGAGCTTCTTGGGCTCTCCAAAGACCAGGTGCTTCCTCCCAGGATATATGTGAATCTTTTTCAAGAATCTCCAGATGTCTTCTTCAGCAGCACAGTTGCCTGTTATGAAGATGATGGCCAGAACATTCATCAGGAGACCACTCTTAGGGTATCCACTTCCAGGCTGAACCCGCCCATTACTGGGAAGGTTCAGCACACTAATGAGGTTATAGGAGTGATGAGTTGACTCAACTTCTCTCACTTCAACTGCAAAGACATTCTTCAGGTGCTCACAGGCTCTCTTGAAAATATCAGCAAATGCACATTTGTGTCTCCAAAGGGTGATGTGCAGCGTCTCTGCCCTGGTAAAGAGCTGTTTCAAGGCCTGAAAAGGGTTCTCCCTTTCCTCATATTGGCCCTCATAAGAAGCAGTGCCACTTTGAAGCACCTGGGGATAGCCACCTAATCTAGCGCAGGTCGGCTATGTGAGAAAGAAGACTACTCCTCCTCAGCTTCTTTGTCTTCATCTTCATCTCCATCTCCTTGTCCTTGTCCAATTCTGTCTTGGTTATTTTTCTCTCATTGCTGGGAAAAAATACTTTACACCCAAAATTAAGAAAGGAAAGGTTTATTTCACTTACAGTTGGTGCAGTTTTCAGTCCATACTTGGCAGGTTACAAGGCAGAGTGGCACATGGCAGAGGGCTACAGCTCATGGCGGCAGAACACAGCAAAAGTAACAAACACAAAAGGGAGGAATGGCGGCATGCAGCCTCTTCCTCTCCCTTACATATGCAAACTATCCACCCCAGGGCGGGTGTAGCTCTCACACTCATAATCAAACTCTAAAAGCCTGCCCCATGACCGCATGAGGCTTTGGGGGGACACACAGACACAAAGGATAACATTCTCCTTCTTCCTTTCCTTCTTCTCCTGCTGGTGGTGGTGGTGGTGGTGGTGGTGGTGGTGGAGGCGGTGGCAGCGGTGGTGGCAGTGGTGGTACTGGTGGTGGTGGTGATGATGATGCAGCTGTTGCAGTTTCCTGGGCACTCTCACAACCCTGATTATCACCACAAACCCGGGGACGTTTCTTACGGGCATGGGTTTTGCTCTTCTGACGGTGATGAGGCATGATGATGCTTTTTATAAACGAAAGTGGGGAACGGGAGTAAGATGGCTGGTGCTGCAGGCACCTGGAAGAGGGAGAATGAGATTATGTGAGAACCCTCAGCAGAGAGATACCTCCTTGGCTTTAACCTGTGAGATGAGAGCAGTGCTCAAGGAACTGACAGTGCTCCTGTTCTAATCAGCATGTCCCTGTAAAGGGAGGGAGAATGAGTCTCAGCCTGTGGCCTACTATCCCTTTCTGTGATATTCTGGAGTGCTGACAAGGGCTGTGTGGGATCCTCTCAGTTCCCTTCACACATGTGACTAACTGTAGTGAAGTCCTTCACTGCTCACTTCTGTTGCTCTGAAGGTGACTCCTCTAACTAAAGCCAACATTCTGTATCCAAGAGCCAAGAGGAGGAAGTGAAAGAGCTTCTCAGCCTATCATCATGTCATCTTCTCTGCACCATCAAAAGCTACATAGAAGCCTCTCTGTCATGGGCTGTTAAGATAAATAGTTCTCATTTGAAAGTTCTCCTGCTCTCCAGGTACTGCCTGTTACAACTGTCTTCTTCTGACTGGCAGCTGAATCCTCGCACCAAATTTTACTTTCATCATCTGTTTTGCATTATTTGCTATAAAAAAGTGATGGGAAGCCATGGCTTGACAGGTCTGCCTTGGGCCTTCAAGTGCTGGATTTATGAGTCAGGCTGCAATGCTTTGTTTCCTATTCCATCAAGAGTAGTCCTCTCAACCATATGTTTGGCTTCTGAAGCCTTCCTTTACCTAGAAATCTGTGTTCCTGCTGGCATCCCTGAGACTCCCTAAGAGGATACAGCAGCTCCTTCACCTGCCTATGACCTCACAATGCATATAACAGATGGATTTTGTAGTAGAAATACCTAGAAATCCTCCTACTGTTGACCTTGTGTGTCCTTTTAGACAAAGTCTCTTACCACTATTGATAGCAGCCCCTGCTCCATACATGGAGACAATGAGCACAAGTCACATGCTAATCCACAGATATCTCAAGCTCTCATCAGAGTGTGGGTTTCTTCAGTGCTTCCTTCAACTCCTAAGTAGCTGGGAATCTCACCCATGCTGACCTGAAGCCCGTCCACTCAGGCTGAGTCTCTCACATCCCTGCTATCCTCCTTTGAGAAAATAGTCTCATAGTTTCACACAGGCTCCCTAGAACTGATGACAAGAACAGGCATATGCCACATCAATCTTGTGGGATCAGTGATTTCCTGAGAACTGTTTTGCTCTTGATTCCTTGCAGGTCATGCTAGTTCTTCCTTTGCTGACCTGAGCCATTTCTCCTCAGTGCAAGGCTCTCCGCTCACTGATAGCATTACATGGAAAACAAGGGCTCACTTTCACCTGACCACCATATTTGAACATTCTGGAAACAAGAAACTGTCCTCATCCTTGGTGTGAAGGTCTGCTTCTTTTCTCTCTGCTGAACTACACTATTCACTTTTACTTACCTCACATTCCTCAGATCCCAGAGGTGAAAATTCAGGCATATCTCAGCCATCCGACTCTCCTTAGAGACCCTCAAGACTAAAAGCCAGAATGAAGCTTGGTGAGGTAAGAGGCTGGCACCCTCTTCTGAGGTGGGTGTTTCTTTCCTTCTCAGTAGAGCTCTTTACCTGGATCTATTAGAGACTGGATCTTTTCTAACTTTAGCAGAGTTGGAAGCAGTAGGCAAAGCCTTTCTCTTCCTGAGGTACTGTAAAAGGAAGTAAGTGCTATCACCTAGGAAAAGATCTGGAGAGGTGGCCTGCAAGGGCTACATTTCTAGTGCTCCCTTTGTGCTGGGGTGCATCGCTCCCTCAGTGTCTTGGAAGACTGGACACAGGACTCAGAGCTTTTGGCCCCTTTCTCTGCCATACCTCCTTATAGCAAGGACCTCGAATTTCTGAAACCCTCCTTACAGAATCAGGCTGACACTGCACCTGTGTCTGCAGAAATCTGTAAGGAAGTGAAGCGAAGATTCTGATTTAACCCCTGTAGGATTAGGTGCTCTCACTTGTATTTATCCAGGTCCTCTTCTTGCCTCCTCTCACACTAATGGAAAGTTTTCTGGAAAATGCTGCATCTCTGTAAACTCTTGAGTAGTGCCCCTACTTCTAATACTGGGATAATACGTCTATGTCTCTGGAGTGGTGTGAGATGTGAAATCTGAAGAACAAGGTGGGGGTCTAGGAAAAGGGCCTGGCTGTCACATAAAACACATACTAATGTATTTCTTTTCTTCTCGCCGGGCTCCACCTCTCTGTTCTTTCTGTTCTGCTCCTTAAGTGACACCTCTCGTCAAGATGGTCATTTTATTACCAGATACTATTTTCTTATTACCCAAACTTTTCATTTGTTTTGGTATTCTTATTGTCCCATTCCAATCCTGTACTTTGAACATATAACTGTTTATTTTTAAGTCATGTGAGATATATTTTGGAATAGTAAGGAGAGACACAATAACACATACACAAATTCAGCTTCAGGTTGGATGCTGTGGTATGGTGTGGGCCCTATAGCTTCTTCCAGATCAGAGAACTCTTCTAGTTCTATCACTATCAGGAGAATATGACAATATTACTCATCTTTAATGAGGCCATTCCAGTGAGGTAGTCTTGCTTTGGACTGTGTTCTTCCTAAATTTCTATATTAAAATCATGATGCCCAATGCAATAGTATTAGGAATCAGGGCCTTTGGGCTATAATTATGTTTCGATAAATTCATGAGAATGGGGCCCCTATGGTGACATTAATACTCTCATACAGTACTAGACACCTGTGCTTCCTACTCCACCAGCAAGAATGTAGGTGTGTACATTGGATACCTCGCCAAGAACTGAATTGACTGGTGCCTCATCATGGACTGCTTGCCTCAAAAGTTACAAGGAATTAATGGTTAATATTTATCCTCCCAGCCTACGGAATTCTGTTCTTGAAGCATGAGATAAATCAAATTAATGCTGGGCATGGTGGCACAAGCCTGTGATCCCAGCACTCGGGAGGCTGAGGCAGGAGGATCGTTGTGAGTTCCAGACCAGCATGGGCTACAACCTGAGCTCAAGGCCAGCCTGAACTGCATGGCAAGACCCTGTCTCAAAAAGACCCAAAATTTTTTAAAAAATCAAATTAACTTTGTAGGATCATGGGAATATACCTCTCTATATGAGAGAACCTGTTACAATGATCAGCAAATATTCAGCATTTAATAAATGGCATTTATAGTAATTTTTACACAGATAATGCAACTGTCTGCTATAAAAAAATTTTAAACATAAATTCAAAGTACGTCAAAGGAAACTCAGTGCTCTCAAAGAACACTGAAATAGCCAAAATGGGCTTTAGCAAGTAATGTTACATTTTCTCTGTTAGTATATTTGTTATTAAATTGGGGAATAGGCCATTCCTTCCTCTTGGATGCAATGCAGGGCACCTAGAATTTTTATCAAAGACCAATTTCTTTGGTGTCACCCAACTGCCCTTCCCTCCAACCTACCTCTATTTTCATTCATTTCTTCTCCACAAAAATTAAGCCCTCTCTTAAAATTTGCCAAAGTACACTCAGTCACTTAATTAGAATGCCTTCTTAATGTACTGGGATCTTGTTCTATATTCAAGGCAAAATATGACAAAAAAGTGGCTTGTGTGCATCAGATCTCAACAGAGTATTCCCTTTTCTCTTCAGAAACACCAAGAGACAGTGTCCATAGAAGAACAAGACTGTACACTGCGTTCTGAGATCAGGGCTGGGACAGCACTGAGATCAGGCCTGGGACAACATCTCCCATTCTTTCCTACTACGGGCAGAATCATTATTCCCTCTCTACATAAATTTATATGCTGAATTTCTAACAACTAGTGTCTCAGAATGTCAATGTAGTTGGAGTTAATGTCTTTAACAGAGGTGATTAAGTTGAAGTCCATCAAGGTGTTCCCTAATACAATTTGACTGTGTGCACCTGTGTAAAGAATCGGTGCACAGAAAGACATTAGGCTGGATGCAGAGAAAAGGACCGCATGGAGAAGAGGCAAAACAAGATTCCCTTCTGCAAGTCTAGGAGAAAAACTTCAATGGCAACTGACCCTGATGACACCTTGATCAATGACTCCTAGTCTCCCGAACTGTGAGTAAGCAAATGTCTGCTTTTTAAAGACATCGTCCATTGTATCATTTATAAAAGCAGTAACATACTAATACATTCCTCCAACTGGATTATTCCTTCTTATTTATCTCTGATTCCAAAGTAATTAATAAGAGCATGCTTTAATGCCCTCCTATGCACTCCACTGAGGAGGCTGCGATTTCCCCAGTATGTTTATGTGGTATTCAAACACATAACATTGAACACTGGACACAGTCCCATATCCTCACATACTTACAGCCTCTGGAATCAGGAGACCATATACCACAAAGTGCCACATGGGGCTCACACTCAGGAATACAGCAAATAATCAGAAATTGTGGGAGGCAGGATTTGTACATCAAGAAAAAAAGTCACTTCTTGTTCCCATGAGATAATGTGATTTGCTTGTTTAAATAATTCAAAAGGCTGGTAGAGAATGGAAACTAGCAAGAGCTGGGCCTGTTCCCCTTTATAAAGACAGATGGTTGTTCCACCAAAAGATCTTCTCACGAAGTACAGAGTATAGAAGGGAAATTGCAGTTGAGCTATTAGAGGCCATGCCAGATTCATGAATTATCAAGATTGCACATAATATTGAAATCAGAATTTAGGTCTTACACTACAGTACAATTATTCATTCATTTGTCCATGTTCTCTTTTAAGACACATTATTTGAGAGTTTAACCTCTGCTCAGGAGCCTCACAACTTCATATAGCTAACCACAACTATATATGTCTTATAATTTTCCTCAATGTGATTAAGGCTCCCAGCTTCTAAAACTGCAGGGATTAAAGCTCAATCATTATCTGAGCATCCCCAGTGCTAGCTCTGGTCTTTCAAAGACCAGATACTCAGCGTTTGTGACAGAAGGCAGATGAGTCTATACAGAAAGTTTGAAGGATCCAAGGCAGAAACCAAGAGTCTGCACTAGAGCCAGGAGACGACATCCAAACTGAAGGTGAAGACTGGAGCTCCTCTGAAGAATGGAAACCCCTCTGTCCTTCCTCATTTCCCTTTTATATCATCTAGGGTGTAGAATTGCTGAGCCAAGTTTAGTTAAGCTTCTAAACTTCTCAAGTTGACACGATCAATCAGCCACTACAAGTGGTACGATAAAAGACCCCTGTGGAGTGCTGCTTGACTGAGAAGCAGATTAGGCCAGGGAGAAATCCCCAAGAAGAAGAGAAAAGAGGCTCTTCTTCCCCAGCTGTACTGTCCTAATTCCCCTGTGATGCTGAGAGTCATCTTATGCCACATGGAATTACTGTCAGATGAGGGGTTTCCCTCCTGACATGGCAGCATGATGGCTGTGGTCAGTGGCACCACGCAGAAATGTGTGAATCCAGTACAGAAAGCAGGCTGAAAGTGTAAGTGCACCTTCAGCCTAGAAATTCTACCATTCTCTAACGAAGACTTCATTTGCAGTTTTCTGCGAGGCAGTGCTGCCAGGAACACTGGGCCCCTGCTCATACGCTCACCCTGTGTTGCTGGTGCCCTGTGGAGGATGTTAGAGCAAACCTTGGTATATACCTTCCGATCCCCGCCTCAGGCATTCTGTGGGAGGCAGAAGGGGCTGGAAATTTCTAAATCTGAGATATCCTTTTATTTCACATTCAAAAACATGTCTACTGGTAGTAGGTAATGGAAGGCACTTTTTGTGCTGCTTTTACATTGACATTGCATATCTTCTTGGGACCTACAAGGGAAAAATAGGGACTCCTCATTTGTTAGTGCTCTTGAGGTGCCTCCCTGTTCCCTTCTCAATGGGGAATTTTCTCCCTCTTCAACTATGGAGTCCCTGTCTTTGTACTGGCACATCGTTCTTTGGCCCCTCACTTCATTTGTGTAGCAACTGCACCTTCAGACTATGGATCTTTCCTACAGTAGAGGAGATGTTACTAAGTGGTAGGAATTCCAGCTTGACACTCCTTGCCTGTGTCTTCAAGGCCTGAAATTAGAGCAGGACCATATTCTCTGCTATCACATTTTTCAGTAGTAAATGGTCCTCTCACTACTTATTTTGATGCCTAGAATTCCTCCCTTCCATGCCCTGAGGCCGGTCCCCTCAGAGGAAAACCAAAATCAGTGTAAGATCCTCAGCCCTTGCTCTATGTGTCTTCTCATCCAATGACACCTGCCCTTGGTCTCCCAAGGTTGAATAAGGAATACATTCCATGTTGCTTCCAATGTTATGAGGTGTGTGGTCCCTGGGATGCCAATGAGGCCTCTGAACAAATCTGGATATCTTCCTCCTACGGTTGACCTCAGGCCACAACCCTTAGACCAAGTTCCTTACCCCTCGTATACCATGGAAGTAAGAATGTCACATCATGGGAACAATGCCCAAATAGTAGTAGGCTGCTAACAAAGGTGAGGATTTGTGTGATCTTTTCAGTT